CAAAATGCACATGCTAATTCCACTTTGGGGAACTGACCACCCAGAACAGTGTTATCTGACCTTTTTGACCTTGTCACCCACTTCACATCACAGCCTGCTAATGTGTATGTTTGTATACATACACATAAGTAATGGCATGTAGGACTGACAGTTTCATCATACTCTTACACTCTGATGTTTTCTTTTAATCCAGTTGTATTTTTTAAATGTTGGTTGCAATCACCTAAATTGATTTTTGATTCACTAATAGGTCATAATCCCCCATGTTAAAAGCCACAACTAGTCCAATGTGAACGCCCAAAGTGTAAGGACCCTAAACAAAACATTTTCCCCTGAAAAAAATTAAGCGAACAGTCTACAGTTTTTCTCATGCAAAGACGTTCTATTCTGGTGAAATGCAACCAAAATTATTAAAACCTCATGGAATTTTGATGATTCTCTTGTTTATTCTTGGACAAAGAGAATGGCCCAACTTGGTGCCAAACTGCCTCCAAACCAGGATCCATCAAGCAATCCACTCAACACCTTTCATTCCTGCTGGTCCTGGGCACCCTACATCGTCAAATAAACACTTTCCGAGAACAGCTGTATCACTTAGTTAAGGTCTGCAGGACAACTCCTGCACAGAACAAAAGACAATAAAGCTTCATTAATGTTGACCTCGTCTATTTGGAATTTGGCATAGAAAGTTTAAACAATTTTTACCCACATTTACATTTGCCAGTCTAAGAAGAAAAAGATTGATGAGCAAATTAAGAGCAAAAAGACAACAGTAAGAAAAACGTTCACTTGCCCTGGCCAGTGCGGCTCAGTTGGTTGGAGTGTTGCCTCATACACCAAGAGGTTATGGGTCTGCCTCCTGGTCAGGGCGCATGACCAGTTGAGGGTTTGATCCCTGGTCAGGGTGCCTACAAGAGGCAACCAATTGATAATTTTTTCTCACATAGATGTATGTTTCTGTCTCTCTCTCTCTCTCCCTCCACCCCACTTCTCTAAAACCAATGAAAAATGCCTTTGGGTAAGGACAAAAAAAAAGAAGAAAAATGCTGACCTTATAATGCTGACCTTATTTATGAAAACAAACTCATCTAGAACTGTGGAGCACACCGCACAATCGTACAAGCTTAATAAGTTCTCATTACAACTCTCTTTCATTTATTTATTAAAGAATGTCTGAAAGGACTTTTATTTGGCAAAACAGTCAAACTTGTTCAAAATGCTATTTGTGCCTCAATGAAACTGAATTTATTTTAAAATAGGCTGTGATTCACCATAGCATATTCAAAATTTTAATGAGTGCCTGAAGTTACTCTATGCTAGTAAGGTTTGCAGTATTTAACACTTTATAAATACCGGTCTGACAAGCACAAGCCCAGATTTTTCTATGTAATGCAGAATGTTCTAGTACTCTGACTCCAAGAGTTAGAAACAACTTTATTTACTTTTACTCAAAATAAATGTGTGTTATACAGAACAAATACCATGTATTGCTTTATTTTTTTTAATTATAACCTCCATTAAGTCAATCCTAGAGTTGCCTATTTATGTGTCCATTACATTGAATCTTAATTTCTTAGTTTTTGGTGGCTCTCTCTTATGAAGGTTCCACCTTCCCATAATTTCAAACACTCAAGAATTTTTTTTAGAAATCTATATCCCCTGAGTTTATTTTAAAAAAACAATCATTTACACAAAATGCCCTGCTTACTATATGAAAATGTTGCTATTACAGTTTTCACAATATCCTGTATGATTGAGGAGAATGGGATGAAGTGAGAGGGAAGCAGCAAGGGGAAAAGGAAGGATGAGAAGCATGGTGAAGCAGGAAGGCGGGTAGAGAGAGGGGGGATAAACACCAGATGGTTTTTTACCCAAAGGTACATTTCCACAGGCACAGAACAATCAAGTTCTGACCATTCTAAACTCATCCACCTTAACTGACTGCAAAGACGACATAAACTAAAACTGAATGAATCGGATGAAGTGCAGTTCTCTGAAAAGCAGCATGGACGCCATCCGGAAGTGAGTGTTAAAGGACTCTACCTACTTTTCCATAGTAGTTATCTTCTACTGTCTTTTGAGCACATGGTCTCCTTAATGACTAAATCTCACTGCAATGTCAAAAATGGGGAGCTTTTTGTTTCCTAAACTCAGCCTAAGCATTAAGAACCACCACAGGAACTTGTTAAATATGTGGCTCCCCATTTCCACCCCAGACCTATGAACCTAAGCTCCAGAGAGGAATCTGAATTTTCTGATGGCAAATTCAGGCTGCTGGCCTTTTGCCTTTCTGCCAGGCAGCATCCTGGCAGCCCTTGAACCAAAGGAGCCATGTGGCTGCTCAAATACTGCTCTGATAAAAGATTGATGGCTTAAAAAATAAAGTCTGGACAAGTCTACTGGAAATTCACTTCAAAAGCATAGGCCTAAATTCCACTAAGGTAAAAAGAAAAGGGGGGCAGACTGTGGTAACAAGTAGCCATGAAAAATGTTTGTCTAGGCTCCAATATTCAACCAATAAGCATCATAAATCTAGAAAGTAAAACACAACACAAACCCATGGGCATGCTGTCTCTCTAAGCTCAATCTGGGGAGTATCTGTATATTCCAAATCTTCACATTACCATGGCATTTAATAACCATCCAAAACATGGAACGAGTCCACAGATATATTTCTATTCTTTGTTCTCTTGAATAATAAAAGTTCGGAAGGAACAAGGCTTAAAAGACAGACCCACAACTCTTTCCTCTAGAACTTTCAGAGGTAGGTAGGCATATCAGATGAAAAGGCAAATAATTACTTTCCAAAATTCTTCCTGCCATTTTCATTTTGCTTTTTACTCAATATAAATTATAGTCAAATAAATTTCATCTCTGAATCTAACCATTTAAAAAATTATCCAGGAATATACACAACAGGGATGTTAGCCAAGAACTGACTCAGCAGCTGTGTGCTTAAGTAATATGAGCAACTCAAGTAAATTCTGAACAGTAAATTCCTCTGAGAAAAACTTTTGACTTTTTCTGTCTTCTCTGAGCTAAGTCCCTCTCTTTGGGCACATTCTGCTCATCATACAGTATTGTATACATTCACAGCTGTTCATAAATTATCAAAAATAAAATGTTCTCTATAGACTGAGGCCTGGAGAGATCAATCCTTAAGCACAATTCTAAAGGTTAACTTTAATCATGTGGAAACTATGTTAAATGCACTCAAATGTACTGTTAAAATATTCTTATTTTCAAAGTAAAATATATAATCATAATATGGAATACAGTTGGCCATTCTGAATGGGTTAAGGGTGTCAATGACTGGAAACTAATCTAAAATGTTAACCTAACCTATTCATCTTCCTATTATCTAAAATCTCCAAACTTGTCATCACATTTTGAATAAAAAATTAACCATAAGTTTCAGTTTCCCATGAGAGTGGGGTGGGGGGACTATAGCACGGGTAATGCAAGAGAATAAGCCGTGCAAAATTATCTGAAATTCTTTTAATGTTTGTATTTCCTGGGGGGCGTTTCTTTGGTCACTAGACAGATAACATTTTTACTGGGTAGTAATAAAATTTACTATCCTAATTTCATTCTTTAAGTAAAAATAGCTAATAAAAAGAGGATCAAGTTTATGTTCAAGTTCTAATTTGTTCAAGTGCTGTAGTTGGCCAGGGATTGTTAAGTGGTTGCAAACAACCAAACAAGTAGATAATAATGAGTTTCTTCTTCTGCATAATGAATAAACATGTCTCAACATACTGAAGATTAATTGAGACTGTATCCCACAGCACTTGGCAAATGCAAGGCTTATACAAAGCAATGGAATTACACTTGAATATCCATCATATCTTCTATGACTGTTGAGCATACTGGATTCCCCTTCCTTGCCAAATGTGGAATACAGTTCCACATTTGATCACAAATAGTTTAAAAAGAGATCACAAAAAGTTCTCATGATCACAAATAAGAAAGTAACAAGATCGAGTTTCTGTAGGAATTCCGGCCCCACCGAAGTCCAGATAACAACACTCAGGACAAGTGTAAAACAATTTATATTTCATGTGATAAGTAACTATAATAAAGTTAGATTAAAAGAGGGCAATCTGGACCGAAGTAAGAAAAGAAACTGAGAGATCTTGCATTTCACATCAGTTAGCAATGAAAGTCATAGTAAGAAGGGGCAGCAAATGAGAAACTACACAACAACAAAAGCTAGACCACAAGGCCAAGGCTGTGCTTACAATCATTGTTTTTTGAGGTGTTCAATGGTGTTTTTTATTATCCCCTAATGACCACATGCATCTTTTAATGAAGTATGCACAACAGAGTTTACCGAGTCTATACTTTAAAAAGAAAAAATATCCATAAAAATACATGCTGGCAGGTCATTTGAAAATACTATGTAATCTTGAAAGAAAAACTAAAGGTACCTAGACTTTCATTTCTGACCACCGTGCATTGGGTAGTGCCCTCTAGGAGAAAGCAGAGCACAGGCAGGCACGGGAAATGCTCGGCCTAAGAGAGAAACCTAGTGAGTTTTTCATTGCCTGGAAGGAGAAGAGGAGAACAATCAGCCAAGAAAGAAAATCTAAGGTTTGCATCACCCCGGAGGGAAGACAAACCAGCGTAGTTCATAAACAAGGAAACTGAAGTGCACACACTGGGAGTTTTCACACTGTGAATACATGACTATGCGTGAAGAGTCGCCATGACTTGGGCCCATCACATGAGTGGGCATCCTTGAAATCATAAGTTCCTATGGTGTCTCCTTCAATAACATTTCTATCATAAGAAAATACTTTAAAATATTTTTTCTGTTGTTGGATAAAAGGCTGCACATTATTTTTAATTATGATCAACCTCCCCAGTACTGCTGTTTGACAAATATTTGGGGATAAACATGATAAAAAATAAGGGTTGGTTTTTCCCCTAGCAAACGTGTAGTGCTTCCACAGTTTCTGCTATCAAAACCACCAATTTTTCCACCTCTCACAATTTACCTTTCTTAGATTTGGCTCCGATCTTCAGCTTTGATGGCCAAGCAATCTGTGTATTTGTTTCCTCCATGATCTGTAACAAAAATTATGAGAAATATTGATTCAATTAAGAATTTGTATTTACAGATAAGATTTTCTTTAAAAAAAGATGATTTGAAGTCTTTAGGTTCATGTCGATACAACAAAATGATCTCATTTTAAAACAATGTAAAAAAATCTTGGAAAAAAAGAGATGCATTTTTATAAGCCTTTTATCTAATCAGAAATATTCAAGTATATTCTTTTATTCCCAGTTTTCCTCTCTGTGATGTCCCAGAATTGTAACATAGAGGCAACAAGACCAAAAAGTGCATGAACAAGTAATTAACCCCACTTGATATCAGAACTGTCGGAGATGCTTGTGCTGAATAAAATTCCCCAAGACAACTGCCAATGGATTGCAACACACCAAACATAATCCTTATAATACAAAACTGCGTGGGTTAGGCCACACTAAATGAAGATTTTTTTTTTGGAAAAAAGAGTAATAACTTGCTTTGAGCACATTTGTATTTCATTAAAATTGATGAAAAGCCTCTAAACATGACATCACAGCATGAGGCTACATCCCCATCACGCTTTGGTCCAAAAGGGCATTTTTGCCACAGTTCTTTCTCACATGCAGCCAACACTGGCCTGGAGACTTGGAGACCCAGACATGCCGAAGCGCAAACACAAGTGAGGGAAGCAAGACTACAGAGCAGAGGAAGGAGACGATGCATAAGAATGAGTCGCCAAAACATGTGCATCCTTTGCTCTTTACTTTTATCCCATGAAGTAGACTAATGTTTACTTTTCCACCATGAATACGGCATTCACTGAACTGACAGAACAAACAACTAAACAAATTAAATAGGCAAAAACAGGGACTACCATACATTAATCACTTAAATTTGAGTAGGGTAATGTTTACTTTTTAATATGGAGCTAGAGTTAACTACCATATTTTTTGGACTATAAGACGTACTTTTTTCCTCTCCCCCCACTCAAATTTGGGAAGAATAATGGTTGTTAATGCTGCTGTTGAGTTCTGTTTACATTTATATTGGTGAAATATTATTTATGTTATTAAATATTTTACCACATTTTTTGCTTCAATTTTTTTCCTATTTTCCTCCTCTAAAACCTAGGTGTGTCTTATGGTATGAAAAATATGGGTAAACAAACTAAAGGTGAAGATGACTAAACACACTAACAGTGCAATTAATAAAAAAGTGCTCCTCCCCCTCAGTACTGGTTAGGGACTGGGCAGGAGGCTAAGTGGTTAACAATGTTCACATGTATCGAACTTCACTTAACCCCCTTTATCATGAACCAAGGGCTCTCAGCAGCTGTTTTAGACTGGCAGCCCACAGGTGCCTTTTGTCTATCCATCCCAAGGTGATTTGTTTTTAAATGTAAACCAACATTTTTAAATCTGGGAATTTCTCCTACAAATCAGATCTCTGGCTCTCTGTAAATCTGGCAGATTTAGTCACTGCAGCCCACATCCCAAATGGCCACCCTTGGCTAGCATGGAGAGATGCCCTCTCTTGTCAGTCCCAGAAGGCTCTCTGTTACCCCCTTACCCCGGCCGCACCGGGTCTCTCACACGGAGGTCAGAGGCCACTTGCCATCATCATCATCATCATGCTTGTATTACCTCACCTGCCATTTATCACAGTGTTCGCACTGCTGTTTTTCTTAGAGAAATATTTCTCTACATGTGTGCCTCTATTACAAACTGAAAAACAAAGGGAAGGCACCAAGTCAAGGCGCTGGCCTGGCTCTGAAGGTCAGTGTGCTTGTTTCCCTGGCCCCACAGGACCTGGCCCCTGCCCCTTCTCCTCTGCTCTCGCACTGTCCCTGTTCATGGGTTCAGTTGTCTTCACCATTAAATTGTTAACTCTAAATCCATACCTAAGAATGGAATAAATACTGCCTTCCTCAATTTCCCCTGCTCCAGCCACCCCTGCGTCCCCAAGAATATGCAACCGCTTCAGGGCCTTTGCATTCACTCTCAGGTCCCCAGCTGCCACCTTCTCTGTGACCTGCCCCCTCCACTCTTGCACCACCCCAACCAGAATTATTCTTCCCACTTCACTGCATTTATTTCCCTCCTAACACTTATCACAACCTGAAATTCTCCTACTTTCTGGGTGTGTTTATAGTCTGCCTCTGCAAAATAAAAGTAAGCTCTCTTCTCTGCAGACAACAAGCACAGAATATGTTTGGGTAAATGAATCTGCATAACACCCCTATGAAGTAGACTTCTTCATTCTTCACACAACTGGGAAGCAGCAGAGTGAGAATAAAATCCCCAGACTGCTTTACAAAGACCATACTTTTACCACCATACTACACTAAATACAGGTCCGTTACCTTTTTAAAACATGCACATACAAATTTGAAAATCTGCCTTAGGAGCTAGGCATACTAACTGTTATCATATCCTACAAATATTTATAAAAAGCCTCCTTACGTGCCACAAGTGGAGACCCACAGCAAGGAATATGACACAATTCCTGGTGTCCACAAGCATACAGGCAAGTCAGGGACACAGAAACAAATACGCAGCTGCTGGGCAGCCGTTGGGGAGGCCCAGCTCACAAGAGCAGCTCCGGCCCCTGCTTTGAAAGGTCAGAGTCGGGGGAGGGTTAGTCAAGGGTTCCCCAAAATATAATCTGCAAAATCCCTCAAGTTTTGAAAGTACAAATAAATTTATAAATGAGTTCATCAGTCCCCAAATGAGGGCAGGAAGGCCCAGTTAGAAGGACTTCCTCATTGGTCACATTTTATCGCCTATTAGTTCCAGCTACTATACACGCATGCATCTGCAAAGTGAATAAAATTAGACTCAGAATGTTCCCGTTAGCTAAGACACCTAAAAGGAAAAAATGAAAAAATGAGATCTTAGTACAAGACTGTTGGTAGAGAAGGAGTAAGAAAATAATCTACAGGCTTTGCTTCTTCTGCCTTAAACAATTTGGCCATTTAATCCAGTAATTGATGCCAGGGATGCAGGAGAGCACCCCTGTTGACACATGCTTGGAAGACATAACTTTCTGAAATCTTAACTCATTTTCAGAGCTTCTGAGAAATGACCCTGCATATGATCTCTGTTCATTAAACCCCATTAGATGTTCCACGGCAGAAAATAATATGCCCGAGATACATCACATTGTGAGGAAATAGCCATGAAGTCGAAGCACCTGCCTCACACACCCCAGGCAGCCTCACACCAGTGCAGTGTCTACTGTGCATGAAGTAGCAGGGCTTGGAAAGACTCACTCCCAACCAACCCACGTCAACACTGTCTAGGAGTGGAAGATAGGCTAGCCTGAGCTTAGGATTCTATCACTAGAACCAGCTCTCTATCTTCTATACCACATCATCTCCAAAGTCCTATGAGCCACAGTAATTGTCACACCTTTTAGAGGAAATAAACTACTGCTTATTGGAATTTGACTCCAATAAGCACCATTTATGGCCAGCCAACACCAACCACCCTGGTCATTCACTAGGCTCCTTGTCAGTCCCTACAAAGAGCCTCCTCAGACATCACTTTACTTGTCCGTTGTCATGGTAATCCAGCCATTACAGGCAGGTAGTGCTAGAGTCATATACCAGCTCGCGGATTTCAAGCTATCACATTGGGCAAATAACTTTGGTCAACCTCACTTTTCTCCTCTGTACCAGTAACTGTAGTAGCTATTCTGAGAGTTGCTGTAAGGCCTCTACAGGAAAACCCAAGCACAGAGCGGCACACAGTGAGTGCTCGGTAATATTAACCCTTGTATTGGGATGGCCAAATACAAGGTGTTTTTCCGTAAAATAAAAAAACCCATTTTTCATTTTCACCAATAACTTTATTGATTTGGATATTTTGAGTATGTCAGCTATGTGCTGCATGGTAGATCATTGATTGTTCTCAATTAATGTCTCAATTTGATCGCTAAGTGGTCTACCCAAGCACAAAACTTTACAAGCCACTTTTCACATGTTTGATCAGTCATGGCACCTTCTCCATATACTGCACAAACCTTTTTTTGCATCTCAGTTGCATTTTTACCTTTCTTTAAATAATAAAGCATGATATGTTGAAAATGTGTATTTTCTTTCATCTTAATATTAAAATAGCTACACAAAAATTCACCAATTGGTAAGCTTTTTTAATGCACACTGATATGACAGCTGTCACAATACAATCTAATAAAAATTGTTTCAAATGAAGTTAAAGACAACTAAGTGCTACTAGAGCTATCTTATGGGGAAAAAAAAAACTTTCTGGCTAACCCAATAAATACATGTCGATTATTCCAGTCAGGCTCTGTTCTAGATGCTAGGAATACAACAGCTCATGATCTAACAAGGGCGAAGACAAGTTAACCCTTCATTATGAACTGAGTCCCAAGTTCCATGACACAGTAGGGCATCTGAGAGTGAGCAGAAGAGATCCCAACACAGTTGTGGGTAGTCAAGAAGAGCCAGCTCAAGGAAACGCCTGGTAATGCTGTGACCTAAAGGGGGAGAAAAGGTGGCTAGCTAGGGAAAAGGTGAACAGTGTCCCAGGCAGAAGAGGAGATATGAAGAAAGATCTAGAAGGAAGGCATGCAGGTACCAGATAGGGCCTGAGGGTATTGATTTAGTATAGCTGAGGTGCTTTGATGCTCATCTTTCCCATCCCGGACAGGGAGTGCATCTCGTCTCCACCTTTCTGTGGGTTGCACACAGACATGCTCAATACAGACTTGAAGACATGGCACAGACCAAAGCCACCTAGTATCTATGCTTGGCTGTCATGTGCTACAAATAAGCTGAGAACCAGCGAGTAACTACAGATAAAAAGAAGCCATACTTACTTCACTTTCCAGGAGTCAAAATTCCCCTAAAAAAGTTATCAGTGAAGCTTTTCAAACCATCATCTACAATGACCCCAAGTCAGGTCCTATGGCATAGACACTGTGATATATATACTATCAGTATCGGACAATTATGAGAGTGTCAGGGTGTGAAGCTGCCCCAGGAAGAGGAGGAAGCACAGTTCTCTGCTGG